GTTCTAAAAATTTGGGCGTCACAAAAAAAAGCGTTGAAAAGTCGTCGGCGCTAGAAAAGATATTAAAAAGTTGTTGGCGGGATGGTGGTTGGTAGCAACAACGAGTTAAACAAATAGATAATATTGAACAGATAGGTAACACTCGTATAAATAGTGTGACATTTACATAGATAGTTAGATATTTGAACATATAGTTGCAGAGTTAGGTAACATGTGTACGTATTTGAACAGATAGTTGGACAAATAAATGACACATATTTATATAAGTGACATTTAAACCCATAAACAGAAAATTAAATTTTTGTAGAAGATAGCATATCCTTTTAGACAAATAATAATATCATTTTTGTCCCAAAAAAGAGTTAAGCTTAGACCTATTAACTCAACATTACAGAAATAGATCTCTAGCCTAAGTATTCTAATTTTATTTTAATTTTAAATACAAACTTTTAAATTATTAAAACAAAACAAAATTATTGTAGAAAAATCCATTACTGTTGTATTTAATTAAGAAACTTAGAAATTTAAAAAGGAAATAAAAAAAAATTAAATATAAATAATATATATATATTTTATATATTTTTATATATATATTTTTTTCCTATCAAATCTCTTTTCAAATCTGTTAACAAAACACAGCCTAGAGAGAATTCTAATTCCATAACTACATACATGTGATTATGATAAGCCTTTGTGAGCAAGGATGTCATATCGAAAATTGCTACCAATCAGTTTCTGAATTCATGCCTCTTACGTAAGGTGTGACGTTTCAGAGTGTACATTATATAATAAAATATAAATATGAATATGATTATGTTTACGTGTTTTTTACCTTCTTTCTCTTTGAATAAAGGCTATATTGCTTTGCTTTAATATTTATTTTTTTTATTGATATGTGCTTTGTTTTTAAATGATAATGGATCCGAAGCAGATTATCTGGTCCCAACAGGACCCATAAATTAATCTTTGGTGATTAGTTTAATAAAAGTGATTAACTAATTTTAAAGAAACTACTAGTGATTCAACTATGCAAAAAGAGCTTACCCTAGCTTCTCTTATTTTTATCCCATTAATTCCTTTATTTAAAGGTTCTATCCAATCATTTTGATCAATTTATTGGTTAATATTTTTTTTGGTTAAATTTCTCTTATATTCACATTTTAATATGGAAGAATTTGAAGGACTTGTGGAGTTCGTCACAAATCTCATTTCGATAATCTAAAATGTTCAGTTTTTATGATTCGTTGAATTGAATATTCATACAAAAAAATAAGATAATCGAATATTAAAAACTATATATTTGAATCAAAATTGTATTAAAAAAATACATAATTATTTTTGAAATTATATTTGTCATCTATATTTTTAAAATAAATATGATTCAAATATATAACTACTGCTATCAAATTATTTTTATTTTTTATATAAATATTATACTTAATAAATTTAAAAAAATAAATAATTCAGATCATTAAAATAAATTCTAAGATAGACTTACTAAATTTAAATGTTCTCTTAACTTATGATGATAATTTCACATAAGTGAACCCGTTTTTTGTTGTAGAGGGAAAACGGTACTGCCTAACTTCAAAGCCAAGCCTTTAATGAATCCTTACAAAGCCTTGACTACCCGGCTAAGCCGGCTCCTTGATTGATCTATTCATTTTTAAATGATTTAAAACTAAGGCAGGCCTTGTTTGAGAATAAATTTTTTAAGTAATTTTTAGTTTTTTTGTTAAAATATAATTTAAAAAAAAATTAGTACGTTTAGAATGATTTTTTGCAAAAAGATGTACAAAAAATAAAGAAAAAATGAAATCTTTAAATTTTTTATATAAATTGTTGTCTTTCTAGTTTTTTTTAATAACTTTTTGACTTTTAAACTAAAAAGTAATATTACCAAATGAGACCTCAGTTAAAAAAAAGTTAGTTTATTGGTTAAAACTAGTCTATAAAAAATCCAATACTAAAAAAAATGTGTTTGGCTATTGTCTTTTAGAGTGGTTAGGCCTCGTTTGGCAATTGATTTTTTTAGTTAAAAAAGTTAAAAAAATTACTAAAAAATAAAAAAGCCAACAACTATACCTAAAAGTCAAAGATTTTCTTTTTTCTCTATTTTTTACACATCTTTTCGTACAAAATCAAAAACATATTAATTTTTTTTACATCATATTTTAATTAAAAAGTCAAAAAATTACTAAAAAAATATGTTGCCAAACGAGACCTAAGCAGGTAATCTACACTTATTATTGTCATGAAGATAATCTAAACGTTATCTACAACACTAGCCTTTTTTATTTTAATTTTCAATTACTATTGTTACAACAAATTTTTAATTTCCTTTCTAATAATGGACAACTCCATAAAAATACTACACACTACTAAGGCCAAGTTTGAAAAGTCTCAAATAATTCATTTTTTTATTTTTTTATTTTTTTTCCATCACATCATTTCTATTTTTCTGTACATCTTTTCATAAAAAGATAAAAAAAATACACTTATTTAGGTCATTCCAAGCAACCCTAAATATATCTAAATACTATATTCTCATTGCCTACTTGAAGGTAGTATTTGGATAATGTTTTTATTGTCCTTCAAGTTTCAAGTGAGACTACTTTTCTTGGAGTAAAAAATATTATCCTATCAAATTTAGTGAAAAAAATCATTCACAATGAGTTTTTGGAATCAAGACATATTCTATCTATAATTCGTTCCAAAGTAAAAACTATATCAATTTATTGCTATTTTATTTATTTATTTATTGTTCATTTATGCATCACTCACAATAATAAAAGGTGTTGTGATACAGAATGTGGTGCCTTACATGATATACCCAACCAAAATGCGAGCTAGGATTCTATGTGCTCCCCAATTTTGGTTCTTTTGTCTAATATACAAAAATCTCAAGGTACGAGCGCATAATTAAAAATTTATTCGGGATAATGGAATAGAAATTTTGATACATTAAATTTTGTACCCCAAATGTGATTACCACAACATTATTTAATATCAAAAATTAAAATGTCAATCTTCTATATAAGTACTATAAATAGAACGATATGATAGCGAAATTATTGATAAAATTGGACATTTTCATGGATTGTTTAATTTGAAACAATAAAACCCAAATATACATTTGTCATGAATACACTCTCATAATTTGAATTTGTAATATAAATTTAAACTTGGTATGGCATAAATCGTACTCCAAATAAGAAATTTTATCTATACATTTGAACTTCTCAACGCTTTACTTTTTCTTTTTCTCTTTTTGAATAGGTAGAATTGTAGAATTCTTTGTTTTCCTTTCAGATATAAAAGTTGTATTCAAAATCAACTATGTTACAATCATATTCACTTGCACATCTAATATGTTTGAATGGACAAGTGGATATGTTATTATATATATATATATATATATTTTCAAAATATAGAAAGTGAGATATTGAGTTCAATTTTATTATCATTGAATGAGAAAATGAGAAGCTTAGTCAAGAGGTTTCGTTCTGTCTGTTCTTCTCACAGATGGCGCCAATTGTACGGGGAGGAAATAATTCTCCTCGTATAATCCTGTTGACTAAGTCCACGCTCCTCCGTACGACGTCGCTTTGTCACCTGAAAACACAAACGTGACCTAGCCGGCGGGTGTGTGCCGGAAACCTCTCTGATGCCTAAGTCAGAAAACTTGACAAATAGACAAAGCTCAATGTATTCAGGAAGCAAAATTGTATGTTGAGTTATGTTACTTCCTCCAAGGTGATGCTTGTGAGCTTTTATAGGTTTCGAGTGGCACAATCCTAGTAGGACTTTTATTTCTCCTTACAGAGTCCTCCTAGGATTCACACTCCTAAAGGATAATGCTTATCCTTTTACATCCCTCACTGCTTAAACTAAGTGAGATGGTTTTTACTACGGCCGAACTATCATTTAACTAAAGTAAACTGGCTAAGTTGAGCCACAGGTAGGCCGAACTATCTTTAGTTCGGCCCTTCCTTTTACTCCGTATCTCGGTTCTCCCATGTATGAACCATGATATGTTGGGACCGAGCTACCAAGTAGCAAGGCCTTGACCGATCTATCCAGAATACGTCATGACCGGAATAACTCGGAGACCGGACTAACTCAAGTTGTCCAAACCGAAGTAGCTTTACAATTCCTGAGCCGAAGTAACTTCATCTCTTTTGACCGAAGTAACTTTATTTCTCATGGGCCGGAGTAACTTCTCGGCCCATTTTACCCGGTCCTTCGTACTTTGGGGCCATAAAGTCCATTTCATAGCTCGGCCCAATTTTCACCAAAAATTACCCTCTCAGATATGATAGTGAAATTATTGCTAAAATTGAACGTTTTCATGGATTGTTTAATGAGTAATGCTAGAGAGTCCAAATATTCTACCAAATGTTTTACCAAATGTCTCACATAGGTGTGGGACCCACACAATGTGGGTCTCATATGGGTCCCACACCCATATGAGACATTTGATAAAATTTTTGATAAAATTTTTGGGGTCTCTAGCATTTTTGTTGTTTAATTTGAAACAATAAAACCCAAATATACATTTGTCATGAATACAGTCTCAGAATTTGAATTTGCAATATAAATTTAAACATGGTATGGTATAAATCGTACTCCAAATAAGAAATCTTATGTATACATTTGAACTTCTCAACGCTTTACTTTTTCTTAGGTAGAATTGTAGAATTCTTTGTTTTCCTTTCAGATGTAAAAGTCGTATTCAAAATCAACCATGTTACAATCATATTCACTTGCACATCTAATATGTTTGAATGGACAAGTGGATATGTTATTATATATATATATATTTTTTTTTTCAAAATATAGAAAGTGAGATATTGAGTTCAATTTTATTATTTATATACTTTTAATATATATGAACAAAACATAAATTTTCATTAATTAAAAATAAATAAATCATACAACTTTTAACGAGATCAATACATTTTTAAGATATAAAATTCACTATTTTAGACCCTTTTCCACAAAATTTCATTTGGTTTGGGGGATGGCGAAGGGCAAGGGGGTTGGGCTTTGTAATATTGAGATGTTTGTATCTATCAGATTGAGCGAAGCTGCAGCACATTTCACGCAGCCCTAACACACTCCCATCTCACCCCCATGTCCTAATTAATATCCCATGTTCATCTTCTACTCCTCACCACCACCCTATTTATCCATCTCTCTCTCTCCTCTCTGCCCACCATTCTTCAACCTTCACTCTTTTTACCTCACAAAATTATGTCAGTAGTACTGTAATGCATTCATTCCTCATAATGGGTTGGAATCAAATCTCTACATCTCTCTTTCTGTCAAAACACTCAACAACTCTTCTCTTGAATTATCATTCTTAGTAATTGACTTGGTAAAATCGCTTCGATTCAATCTTGAAAAGCAACCCAAATGAAGATCCAGTGCGACGTCTGTAACAAAGACGAAGCATCGGTGTTTTGCTCTGCCGACGAGGCCGCCCTCTGCGCCGCCTGCGACCACCGTGTCCACCACGCCAACAAGCTCGCCGGAAAACACCAGCGTTTCGCTCTCCAACACCCTTCTCCCAAACAATTCCCTCTCTGTGACATCTGCCAGGTACAAACTCAACACAACCCAACAAAGCCCATAATAAAATTCATATATATTAGCGTATTTTGCTGTGAATTAGGCCTTATTTGTGCTTGTAGGAGAAGAGGGCTTTCTTATTCTGTCAACAAGACAGAGCGATTCTATGCAGAAACTGTGATATTTCGATACACGAAGCCAACGAGCACACTCGTAATCACGATAGGTTTCTTCTCACTGGTGTTAAGCTCTCTGCAACTTCTTCCCTCTATTCTTCGCAATCGTCCTCTGATTCTTCTGCTGCAAACAATGATCTCCTTCCCAATCTCAAGTCTCAAAACTCCATCGCCACCACCACCAACAGCAACAAACCCATTGCCCTTCAACCCACCATCGCCAAGACAGTCACGGCGGAGACGGTGGTGGCAACCACCGCCAACAAGGGTGTTGAGGGCGGCGCCGCTACCAGTAGCATATCCGAGTACTTGACAGAGACGCTACCCGGGTGGCGCGTGGATGATTTTCTCGATTCCTCTTCTCCTACCTCCTTCGGTATCTATAAGGTCAGCAATGCTCTCTCTCTAGCTTTACGGTGTTGATTTGATGATTGACTGAGTAATTGAATCGCAGACTGTTGTTGATGAAGTTATGCCGCTTTGGGATGGGGATCTGGAGAGCAATCTGGGTTCATTTTCTTCCCCAAATAATGTAGGCATTTGGGTTCCTCAAGCTCCACCGCCTCAATATCCTCATCAATACTCTTCTCCAAACATGGGTTTTGGGAATCAAATCGGTTTCAAGGAATCCAAAGAAGCTACCATTAACAAGAACAAGAACAACAACAACGACAACAACAACAAATCTGGAAGAAAATGGAGAGACGGTGGTTGTTTCATTGTTCCACAGATTAGTCCTTCCTCCATTGCTGCTTCCAAGAGATCTAGAACCTATCGGTAATCTTAATCAGACCCAACCTCAACATGCTCAACTCTCTTCCACTTTCTTTTCTTTTCTTTTCTTTTCAATCAAAATTTAGGTTTGATCTGTTTTTCTTTATTGTTGTAATTGTTTGTTTGCTCCTGTAAATCTGGGGGTTTCTGATCTGATCATGTTGTCTATCATCATCATTTCCATGTACTTGTTCTTTTTGTTTGTAAATATCTTAATGAGTAATTCAATCAATCCCCGAATGAAAAAGCCTAAAAAATAAAAGCCTAAAAAATAATAATAATAATAATAATAATAATAATTGGAAGAATTAGGATTTGTTCGGCATATAACACATTATTTTATTTAGATTACAATCATTTTATTTGAATTATATTATTTTTTTATTTAAGTCAAATTATTTATTTATCACATCACTTTAATTTCAATCCATGTTTCATATTTTTTTTATAAAAATTAAAAAATATACTAATGTTACCTTTTCAAAGTAACCTTTTAGGGTGTATTTGATTGGACGAATTACATAAGAGGATTAGAATCTATCGGACTTGAATACTGCGACCGTGAATTCCTCGAACTATTTGGCTGGATTAGAAAAGTATTCCGTATTTATTTTTTTATGGGATTAGATATCTGAAAATGACTATTTTTAGTGAATCTAATATTTGATTGGACGAACTAGATAGGATAAATGAATAAAAGACTGTAACACACTCCCATCTCACCCCCATGTCCTAATTAATATCCCATGTTCATCTTCTACTCCTCACCACCACCCTATTTATCCATCTCTCTCTCCTCTCTGCCCACCATTCTTCAACCTTCACTCTTTTTACCTCACAAAATTATGTCAGTAGTACTGTAATGCATTCATTCCTCATAGTGGGTTGGAATCAAATCTCTACATCTCTCTTTCTGTGAAAACACTCAACAACTCTTCTCTTGAATTATCATTCTTAGTAATTGACTTGGTAAAATCGCTTCGATTCAATCTTGAAAAGCAACCCAAATGAAGATCCAGTGCGACGTCTGTAACAAACCTCAACCTACCTTGGCCGCCCGCCGGACCTCAATTATTTATTTTTAAATTGAGCTATTTAAATTTTATTAAATATAATACATAATTAAATAGCAAAAGGTCAAAATAGTTATTTCATCACATAATCTCAACAGTGAATAGTCTTCTGAAAATTGTCCTCCCAATATACAATAGTCCCTCATATGAGGGATAACGAGTTCGGCCGAACTCCATGTTTAACAGTCAAAAAAACAAAAAAAACCAAACAAACGTCAGATTAAATGCTTCCTCTAAATTATAATCTATACAATAAATAATTCATTCCTTATCCCTCTAATCAAACACAACCATATCGTTAAATCTGGTACACGAACAATGTAAGGCACGTTTTGTTTTCCTTGTTTAAAGGAGGGAAAGTACGTATATTCGAGAAAATTCACTGGAAAAAGGGTAATAGTGAGTTGTGGATTACAAACAAAGAAGTGACAGTTGTGCAGCATTCAATGGATGGGAATGGAAAAGAAAATGGGTAATTATTCACTTATAATTGGTTGAGGACGTAGGTAGGTGTGATATTGTGTTGAGTGGTTAAAGAATATAATGAAACATATTAAATAATAATTGATTAAAAAATACTGACATATAATACTCCAAAATATTTAATAATTTTTCAAAGAAAACAGAGATATTGCATTTTAGTGTATATTTTAAATATAAAAAAAAATATTTACTACTAAGGCCAAGTTTGGCATAAACAAAATAATTCATCTTTTTATCTTTTTATTTTTTTCATCACATCATCTCTCTACTTTTCTGCACATCTTTTTGTAAAAAGACAAAAAGTATACTTATTTAGGTCATCCCAGACAACCCCTAAATCTCATCTCATAAATAAGTATTTTAATTAGTTTCAAATTATTTCTATTGATCTGTTAAATTCTATTAGTAAAAGAGTTCTTGTAGTCCTATTTTCGGCTTTCATAGTGGCTTCATGGATGGATATACCTTTTTATTAATGTGACATGTATGATGTGGCATTCCAATGTGGTAAGTATTATTGTAACGGGTATAATGTGACATTTCAAAAAAACTTTGTTAGTGTATTTTTTTCAAATGTAACATGTAACACTCCAACATGACGGGTGTAATGTGAAACTCTAAAAAAAACTCTTTAGTATATTTTTTCCAAATATAACATGTGGCATTCTGACGTGGCGGGTATAATGTGACAATTAAAACAAACACTTTACTGTACTTTTTTCAAATGTGACACTCCAACATGGTGGGTATGACGTAGCACTCCGAAAAAGAAAAACTCATTAATGTACTTTTTTGAAATGTAATATAGACACTACAATGTGACGGGTATAATGTAATACTCTAATTTTTTTTTTTTTTTTTGGTTTCCAAATGTAACATATGACATTCCAACGTTACAAGTATGATTTGACATTCAAAAAATACTAAAAAAAATTTTAGCATATTTTTTTCAAATGTAACATGTGACACTTCGACTTGGATACGATCTGACACTCCAGAACAAATCTCTTTAGTGTACTTTTCTCAATGTGACATGTGACATTCCAACGTGGCAGATATGATGTGACACTAAAAAAAATTCTTTATTATATTTTTTCTAAATCTGACACTCTAACGTAGTTGGTATGATATGTCATTCCAATGTGACGGGTATGATATGACACTAAAAAATTTCATAGTGTACTTTTCTCAAATATAACACTCCAATGTGGCGGGCAAATTAGTTATTACACATCCAAAATGACTAAATGGATTACGAGAAAAGATATGAGATTATATAGATTACAAGTTCAAAATATGAGACTTATTGGTTAATCTCCTTAAAAAAATCAAATTAATGGTTAATTTTATTAATTTTAATAACTAATGTTATAATTTTTTTCAAAACTTTGTAAGTATTAAAAAAAAAAAAAAATGCCACTGATTTGCAATTTTTTGGTAAAAAAATCTATCATAAGCACTCCAACGTAACATTCTAGTATAACATACTAAAGAACTCATTGATGTACTTTTCCTAAACGTAATAACGTAACACTAAAAAAAAAAACTTCTAAGTGAACTTTTTCCAGACATAACACTTCAAAAATAAAAAATAAAAAATTCTCCCTGATGTATTTTTTCCAAACGTAACACTCCAATCAATGTAACCCCAAATGTCAGACTCCAATATAACATACTCTAATGTAACACACACAAAAACATTAAAAGCTTTTTAGTGTACTTTTTTCAAATGTAGAACTCACAATTTGAACTTATATATGTACCCAAAACTTACGAAGAAATTTTTGTACTCCTTTTGGAATGGTTTGAAAAATCTCACATTCTTTTTTTTAGAGTGTTACGTTTGAGAAAAATACACTAAGGAGTTTTTTTGTGTGTTACATTAGAGTGTTACGCTAAGGACTTTTTTTGGAGTGCTATAATGAAGTGTTATATTTGAGAAAAATACACTAAGAAATTTTTGTATGCTATATTAGAGTGTTACATTGAGAAATTTTTTTGGAGTGTTATATTGGAGTATTATGTTTGACAAAAATACACCAAGGAATTTTTTTAGAGTATTATATTGGAGTGTTATGCTTGAGAAAAATACACTAAGAATTTTTTTGGAGTGTTACATTAGAATGTTACGTTTGAGTGTTACATTGGAGTGTTACAGTTTGAAATTATACATTTCACTATAAGAATTTTCACTTTTGGCGACTAAATTTTTAGTCGCCAAAAGTCAATTTTTAGTCGCCAAAGGGCTTTAGCGACTAAATTTTTTGGTCGCAGAATTAGTAGCCAAAGAGTAGTCGGGAAAGCTAATTGGCGACTAAACTTATTTTAGTCGCCAATTGTATTCATTTGCCGACTAAATATGTAGTCGCTAAAAGGTTGGAAAATAAATTAAATAATACATTTTCAGTGACCAATTTTTTTGTCGTCAAAAGCCTCAATTATTGTTAACGACCAAAGATTTAGTCGAGGAAAAAGTTTTTTGCTACTAAATATATTAGTCGCCTAAAGTAAATGCTAATGTTTTGGCTACTAAAATTTTAGTTGCCTAAAGTCAAATTTTTTGGCTACTAAAATTTTAGTCGGCAAATAGTATTTGTTTTGGCTACTAAAAATTTAATTCCCTAAACTCTCACATTTTTTGCTACTAAAATTTTAGTCGGCAAATAGTTTTTGTTTTGGCTACTAAAAATTTAGGCGCCTAAACTCTCACATTTTTTGCTACTAAATTTTTAGTCGGCAAAAGTGTTTTTATTCTTCAGAATTTGTTTTTAGCTACAAAATATCTTAGTTGCCAAATGTTTGATTTTCTTTTGGCTACAAAACTTTTAGTCGCCAAATGTTTGATTTTATTTTAGCTACAAAACTTTTAGTCGCCAATTGTTTGATTTTTTTTTTTTTTTTGGCTACAAAACGTTTAGTCACCAAAAACATAATATTATGTTTTATTGCAAATATTATAATTTCTGCATAACCTGTTTGTATTCCATGCAACCTATAATACGTATATAAATAAAATGATACATAAATTATCAATCATTCCACAATCAGCATCCGTATAGAAAAAATAAATAATTTTAACTGTCAAAGTACATACAAACCAACTATTGTTCAAACTAAAATAATAATTACATACAAAATATAGAATCATACAAAAAGCAAAGCCCTCCATATACAAAAATTACATTTACTACCATGTGAAATGACTATTTAATTTGTACCACGACATAAGGTGATGTATGTACCAAGACAAAAGTACATCTATGTATCACGACAAAAAATCATATATATGTACGCGCGACAAAAGGTGATCTATGTACCATGCCAGTAATTATCTGTTGGCTACCAAAAGTTTTTTGTATCGGAAATAGTTAGCTGTACAAAAGCTGGGGACGACAAAAGTATTATATTACTTCTATACAAAAGTACAATTTCTTCTCCATACACCAAAATATTACTCTGAAAGTCCACGCAACAAAGTCATCTACAAAAAACAAAAAAACAAAAAAGCATTAGAATTGGACCCAAAAATACCCAACTTCATGAATGAATTTGGCAACAAGTGACAAATAACATATCAAAGAAGCAACATTTCATGATGAATCAATTATCAGTCTTTCTAAAGTCTTTTGTT